TGGCCCACCAAACCGCTGTCCTGCCTGGGTCATTCCCTTGCTTTACTAGAGAGCGCTGATTGCTGCTGTTTCTCATGGCAACCCCGCCACCACCACCGCGCGCGCTCACACACACACACACACACACACACACGTGTTTCAAACCCAGTGAGCAGCACCTTGCGGCGAGGACACGGGAATCCTGTGCGGAGAGTGGAAACTGTAGGGTCCCAACTGCGTGCTGCTGGAGCCCTGGGAGCCTCTAGCGCAGGGGGTGGGGAACCCAAGGCCGGGGAGGGGGCGGATGAGCCCCCTTCTTGCCTTGATCCTCCAGCTCACGGGGCTCGGGGCTTCCTCCCCCCCCCCACACACACACACCTTAGTGAAGGTTTGGTTGCTTCTCGCTTGTGTGAGGCTCCCATCTGATTTTTCTGTGAGTCAGAGGTACCAGAAAAGGTTCCCAGCTCCTGCTGTAGCGGCTATCCCCCGTCCCAGAGATTTAGGGACGATTATGAGTTTGGGAAACCTTGGGAGACTGGAGGAGAGAGAGCCCACATAATAGTGGCTCTCCACCTTTTCCAGATTACTATAGTCCCTTCTGGAGTCTGATTTATCTTGTCCACTCCCCCTCCCCCCTTTCACCTCGCTTAAAAACTTGCTTTCTTACAAAACCAGGCATAAACATACAAGTGCACAGCATACTGCCTGCTACTGGCAAATTGCTTACTTTCTCATGTTGACATATAATTAGAACTCCATTGGAATACACTGTACTTCCACGTCAGTGCGCAATATCTGGAGCTGTATAAACCAGTCTCCATGAAATACTAGTTTGTACTGATTTTGCTAGTGCTTCTTTGTAGCCTGCTTTAAAACTAGGCAAATATCTAGCTGAGTTGATGTATCTCTTGGAAGACCTCTCTGTACTCCCAGGGATACTTGTATCTGTGGTTGAGCACCACTGCTCTAAGCAGCCTCTTGACGGGGTTTGCCTAAGGGGAAAACGCTTTAACTGAGATTTTGAGATGAAACCTGGTTTCAAGGGATTGTGATCAAATCTGCACCTCTCTTCTTGCCCACGTCTATCTGTGGAATGCAGTGTGTGACCTGTATTTGGCGACATGAATTATGTGTGCGGGCCTCCTTGATTATATACCTGCACTGCACTGGAGAGGTGTTGGTAATCTGGGCACCTGAACGAGAGCCAGTTTGCTAAAAAAACAGTAGTGGAGTCCGGGTAACTAGCTAGACTGAGTGTAAATGGTTATTTTTATAGCCTGTCTGTTCTTGGGGAGATAAGCAATTTTCAGCAATAAAAAGGAGGGGACAGTAAAGCTGTGTAGAGCAGCTAGAGCTTTGACGCTGACGAGAGAGGAGACGTTGCTCCAGAAGTCATTGCTGGGATTGAGCACTAATTTCTCTCCAGCTGCCAGAATCTCTCCAAAGCTGAGAGTTTATTACAATTTCAGGTGCTCCCGAGGGCTAAAGGAGACACTGATGAGCATGGGGGGGGGGGGCCGTGCTGCTCCCATTCTCCTGGAGTTCGTGGCTGGTTCTCCAAGCAGCTGCGTAAGCCTGTCTCCTTGCTGCAGTGGCAGATCCATGTGGGTGGCGGGGAGGGGGACTGAGCTAGCGGCCGCGTGTGGGGTTTGCGCGGGGAGGTCCCGGGGTTACCCAGCGAGAGCTTAGCCCGGAGGACAGACAAAGAAACGAGCTCGGCTCCGCTCTGGGCAGCGAAGGATTAAAACCATAGAGCGGGCGCAGCCTCCAGCTGGCAGAGAGGACTGCAAAGTCCTGCGAAGGGGGAGGGGAGCTGCAGAGTGAAGCTTTTCCTCTTCCCTTCCCCGCTGTCAGGCCGCCAGCTCAGAGCCGGGGCGCGCACGTGGGGCCCGCTGGCGTGCTCCTAGGAAGGGGCTAACTCGGGCCCGCCCGGCGGTGAGTGAGTGTGTGTGGGGGGGGAGGTCTGGCCTGAGGGGTGCGGGAAGAGCCTCGGCAGCCCGGGGGGGCGAGAGCAAAAGAAAATCGGTGCCCCTGAGACCAGCCTGCAACAAAGGGGGAAGCGAACCAGGAGCCCCGGCTCAGAGAAAGGCGAAAAGGGTCCCCAGGCTCCCTGCCCGCCAGCCCAGCTGCAGGAGAAAGTGGAAGGAAGTTTAGCGACATTGGGGCGGGGGCACTGGCCGAGGTGTTAGCAGATGGGTTAAGGCGGGAGTGGGTGTGGAGGGAGGTGTTTTTATCAGGGGTTCAGGGAAATGGGGAAAAGGGCCGTGGTTAAGGGGACCCTGACCTAGGGGAAATACAGCAGGGGGGTGTATTGGAGGTTTATGAATAGCAAACAAATACAGCAGCAGCAAAGGCGAAACTAACCAGTTCAACGTGATGGGGATGGATTCAGAATGCTTTAAAATAAAAAGCAAAATGCAGGACAATGTAGCACTTTAAAGACTAACAAGATGGTTTATTAGGTGATGAGCTTTCGTGGGCCAGACCCACTTCCTCAGATCAAATAGTGGAAGAAAGTAGTCACAACCATATATACCAAAGGATACAATTAAAAAAAATGAACAAATATGAAAAGGACAAATCACATTGCAGAACAGAAGTCTGGGAGACAGACCCATAGTCTCCTATAGACAACCACCTAACCTCAAGATGATTCTTACCAACCACCACAGGACATACCACACTAATACCAACCCTGGTACCTTCCCTTGCAACAAACCCCGTTGCCAGCTTTGTCCACATATTCATTCTGCTGATACCATTATTGGACCTAACCAAGTGAGTTATAAGATCAAGAACACATATTCCTGCGCATCCAGAAATATAATCTACGCTATCATGTGCCGAAAGTGTCCGTCTGCTATGTACATTGGACAAACATCTCAGACACTTCGCCAAAGGATTAATGCCCACAAAACAGATATCAGACAAGATCACAAAGAGAAAACAGTTTCTTGCCACTTTAACCAGAAAGGACACTCTCTAAATGACTTAGCCACCTGCATTCTGCTACAAAGACCTTTTACTTACATCTGCACTTGAAAGGGAATCCTCTGAACTGTCATTCATGTTAAAATTCGACACTTACCAACAAGGACTTAACAAGTCTTTGAACTTTCTCACCCATTACCAAGACAGTTTCCCCAATTATCACCTGTAATACCATTAACTCACAAACATCCCACTCTCCCTACCTTTAATATCAGCAATTCACAGACACTTACCTTCCTTCCTCCCCCTTCCCACCCCCCCGCATCCCCCCCCCGCATCTCCCTTCTGTTCTGCAATGTGATTTGTCCTTTTCATATTTGTTCATTTTTTTAATTGTATCCTTTGGTTTATATGGTTGTGACTATTTTCTTCCACTATTTGATCTGAGGAAGTGGGTCTGGCCCACGAAAGCTCATCATCTAATAAACCATCTTGTTAGTCTTTAAAGTGCTACATTGTCCTGCATTTTGCTTCAACTACCCCAGACTAACACGGCTACATTTCTATCACTATTAAAATAAAAAGTTAGGACATGGATATGTGAAGACACAACTGTACATTTTGAATGTAAAAAAGCATGTTCGATAGGGCCAACTGTGGTGAAACGTGCACTGCACCAACTGTGATAATTCATGTTGTTTAATACGTTGGATCCCCAGCTCTATGGCCCGCCTGTATGTTTGCCTGCCTAGAAGTTTCCATCCCCCAGACTGTAAGAAATTTTAAAAATCCGTTTACTTAAACCGATTCTGTATCTAGCTGGAGCTGTGGTGCAGCTCAGACCCCCAGGCAACTTGGGCCATTATTTTTTAACTGTCTAAAAGTGATTTTGAGCCACTTGAAAGCCTGTGGTGAAATCCTGCCCCTTTGAAATCAAAAGAAAACTGGCTGTTAATCTCAGTTCAGTATTTTTTGAGGAAGTGATGGGAGGGAGGAAAGGGGGCATAATTGGGGGACATCTGTGGGGAGACACAAGTAGGTTTCATGGGAACACCTCACTGCTATTGCCTGTCATTTCTGCCATTCTCCTGGGTAGAATGGGGTGGGCAATAATTTTTGATGGGGGGGGGCACTCCAAGAATTTGGAAAGTGATCGAGGGCTGCACTCTTCCATGATATTAATGGAGGAGGTATGGGGTCTGGGATGGAGGTTAAGTGCCAGTAGGGAGCTTGGGGTAAGGAAGGGAGTTTGGGTGAAGGAGGCAGTTGTGACCTGGGGCACTGGATTGGGGTGCAGGAGGTTGGATTGTGACCTAGGGCAGGGAATTGGGGTACAGGGCTTTGGGTTGTGAGCTAGAGCAGGAGGGGACTGTGATCTGGGGCAGGGGATTGGGGTGCTGGATCTGGGAGGGAGTATGGGTGTAGGAGGGGGCAGAGGATTTAGGTATGTGGAGTGTGAGGGCAGAGGGTTGGGGAAAGGAGGGGCTGGAGTGCCAGAGGTAGGCTCTGTCCAGGAGACTTACCAGCCAGTTCTGAATCAACCTGCCTGCTCTGCTCCAGCACAGGCTACAGCCATGTGCTCTGTAAATAACTTCATGTGCTTAGTGGCTGCCTGTTATTGAAACAGGCAGCTCCTATTGGCCAATTTCTGGCCAGAAGTCAGTCAATGGGATTGTGCTGGAGGTGGGAGCAACTCCTAAAGCTTTTCCCCCTTCCTCTCTGTTTTTGAAGTGAAACTGCTCTGTGGCTGTTTTTCTGAGTGGCCTGCGGGTGGGGTGAGGCAAGCAGGGAGCCTGCCTGGGACTCCCTGCAGCATTCATGGGCTGGATCTGGTGGCTTAGTGAGCTGGATCCAGCACACTGGCTGTATTTTGCCCAGGCCTGTCCTAGTCCCTCCAAGTTCCCCTGAGCTTGATTGGTTTTGAGGAAATGATAACTCGTGGTCTGAGATGAATGCATGATCTACTTACTGGTTGGTGGCAGCAAGGTGGAGTGGAGTGGGGTCCTGGGTTTCAGACTTCACTTCAGGGACAGGTGTAGGGGTAACAGGGCTCTGCATAGCATTTCTCAGCATCACAGGATTGCAGTGGTGTGAAGCAGTTTATTCATCTCAATGGAATGTTCCCAGATGACCCAGAAACCTCCTCCCCTGAATAGAGATGAATACAGCCTGCCACAATAGCTCTGGGAGATGTGAGCAGGCCTATTCCTTTCAGAGGGTGTTCTTCCATCTTTCTCAAAGTCTTTCCTAGCCCCTGTTGTGAAAAAAACAATTTTCAAAATAATCTCGCTATGCAGGTGGGTTTTAGACTAATTTGAATATTCAAATCCACTCCCAATTTGTGGGGAAGAGGTTGTAAAAGTAAGAGTACCCTTTACTCCAGTTGTGACCTATCAGTGTTTGAGGTAATCTCACTAGGCATATAGATTTTTATAGCATTTTCAAAACTAAAAAAAGGTTTAGTCATTTGGACTAAAAATACTTTAGGTCAAATGAACAAAACTGCTCAGCATGCAACTGCTCCCATTTTTGGCAACAAAATGCAGTGAATTTACCAAAGAACAGTGGGATTCACTGTAAAGGGACATCAAAATTCTTCAAAGGCAGTTGCTGAGTTGTGCTTATACTTCATCTTTGCACATATACAGCCTCTTCTTGATTACGAACTGGTTACGGACCAAGCAATTGGTCGTAACTTGGTTTGTTCGTAAATCGGACCCCATAGAGTTACACATGACCATGCTCTTTGTAAGCGGGGATTGCATTCGTAACTCGGGGTCCGCCATTTATGACAGCTTTGGTCGTAACTGCAAACGGTCATAAGTCGACCATTTGCAACTTGGGGACTGGCTGTAATCAATATTGCCAGCCCCAATGCTTAAACCAGGGGTACCTCCCCCCTCAGTTGCTCGCGACCCCCCCTCCCCATTCCTGCAACCAGCCTCTCAGTTGCTCGCAGCCCCCCTCTAATTTGTTTGCGATCTCCCTCTAAGTTGTTCGCAACCCCTCGGGAGGTCGGGACCCACAGTTTGGGAAATGCTGGCTTAAACGTTATGAAAGTGGCTTAAAAATCATGAGAATTTTAAAAAGAACATTGGAATCTTTTTGTTTGCTCTCTGGTTTTGAATCTTTGGGGTCACAATTTCAAGCATTTCTCCACAGCCATCAGGGCAAGAAATCTTTTCTTGCTTTCTTTATATGATGGCTCTGAGATCAGGGTGGATGATTTAAATCACTAAGTGGAGAGTTGCAATTTTAAATATTTGGTTTTAATAAACTTTTCCATTTGTACTTCAGTTATTTTCTATAGAAAGGTTTATTCTCACTGGTATTTATAGCCATTAAACAAAATTGATTTAGAACTAAATGGATCCTTTACACTAGGTTTGATACATCTTTTTGTTACCTAGTACACACACACACACACACACACACACACACACACACTTATGTAATCAATTGTACATTTTAGTATGTTAGAAAATGGTAAATGCTTTTACTTATTTACTAGATGGTAGGGATGTAAGCGACCAGTCGAGTAGCTAACTACCCCATAAGCATAGGATTTCCTTGCTCCGCCCCATTTCAGAGGCAGTAAGGGGGGGGAAGCAGGAGCTGGTGCGGCAGTTCAGGGTGGAGCAGGGGAGGCAGAGCTGCAGCGGTCCCAGGGACCAAATGGGCTCTTACTACATTTAAAGTGTAGCGCCATAGCAGGAGTGCCCTGCCCCCCATTGACTAATTGAATAGTTAATGGAAATTCTATTGACTACTTGATTAGTCAATTAACTGATAGTTAACATCCCTACTAGATGGTTAACTTTTTGCTCATGATTTATGTTAAGCTGCATTACAATGGAATTTAATTAAATATACAATACAGCATATTTATTTGTATTAAACAAAACAAGCCCTTAATACAGTATATAACGTGTTGTGACATACTTATAAAGAATAGCCTCAAAAGTTAATTTGAATCCTCCAATTCTTTTTTTACCTAGAAAAGCATCCTTTAAATTAAAGTTCTTAATAGAGACTCATGGATTCAGCATATTTATTTTTATTAAATTGTTTTAAGAAATGGTAATAAGCTTAGACTTTTAACACTTTTTTTAGGGCTTTCAAGCAATTTAAAAAAATTAATCGCATGCGCTGCCCCTTTGAAATGCTGCCGCAGAATTTCAGAGGGGCAGTGCTGTGGAAGCCTGGGATCTGCTGGAGTCCCCAATTGACCCTGGGCTCTGTGCAGCGCTGCCCCTTTGAAATGCAGCTAGGACTCCAGCTGATCCCAGGCTCCTAATGTGCTGCCCTTTTGAAGTGCCTGAGCCGGGCTTCAAAAGGCAGAGCAGCATTAATGCCTGCGATTAACGCGTCAAAAAAATTAACCATTAAACCTGCCCTGCATTAATCGCAGGCGTTAACACACATCAATTGACAGCCATACATTTTATATTAAATTCAGATTTAATTTTAAATAGGTATGTTTTAAAAAGAAAAAACTTACTATAATCTGATTTTTAAAATTAAAGAAAAATAATGTATTTTATTCATGGCTGAGATTCTCATGCAACTACTTGACTAGCAGGGCTGGCTTTTACACTTCCTTCCCATTGCCCTCAGTACAGAGGGGTGATGGAAATGGGTAGGATAATTGGCCAGTGTATGTATATGCTTTGGCTGTCCCCAGATAGAATGTGTTTCCTTGGAAAACATAACCAGCTGACCCAGTTTAGAGCAACATCCAGAGTATACACAGCACCAGCTCAGAGCAGAATCATAACTGGCTCCTTAAAAGCTTCATCTCTGTCACTTGCAAATGTTTTTGTATAATTATATTTATAGAGCTGACTTCTGTTTATAAAAAATAACATAGTACCATTTCCAGCCACTGTAGCAAAAGATCTTGTGAGACGGGTTATATAGCTATCTCCCACGTGGGATGAGGGAACCACTTATTGAAATCAGTAATAGTCGTTGGTTGTTTACACCTTCTATTCCAGAAGTAGATCACAAGATGCAGACGCCATGCTTCTAAGAGAGGAAATGCCCTGAAACAGAATTGCCATAGAAGGGAAGATCTTCCTGATTTTAGATTGTTCATTGTGTTGTGCAACTGAACTATCTCATTTTTTTAGAAGAAAAAATCTGATGTGTATTTGGCTCTGAATGAAAGTATCTATACTTGCAGATGAAGGGCCTGACTTCTTCCTAAGGTATTTATTCAATCAGATACATATCCCCTCTTCTGTGCAAAACAGTATTTATTTTGAGGGCAGGATATAAATCCAGAGAGGCAGTATGACACTTTTCCCACCCCCTACCTTCTTCTGGGAATGGTGACTTCCCATCTTAAAGAATGACACAATAGCAAAATTATTCATATGAAAGAGGGAAACCTTCACTTAGAACAAGTGTTTCAAAAGGGAAGCCTTTTTTCCTGCTGCATCATTAACAATCCTCTTTCAGCTGCACTTCAAACACAAAATAGCCACACATTCCCTCTTCATTCCCACACCTCAACTGTGGGAAACACAGGAAACCTGAAATGGACTTCACATATCTAGTATCCCAAGCTCCTGCTAGTTAGTTAGTTCTAGGGAAAATCCCATATGTTAGATGCTTTTATCTCAAAGGTCGACTAAGACTGAAGCTTGCACATCAGATGCTTCTGATATGTAAACCAGCTAAGGTAGCTTCA